TGGGGTACCGGTGAAACACAGCATTACACACCGCATCCTCACCGATGGGCCCCCTGGTCTCAGGCCGAACCCGTCGTTTGGCTCAGGAACGACTTAAAATCGCGTGCGACGAGTTCGACCACATGCTGGAGCTAGGGATCATCAGGTCATCGTCAAGCAACTGGGCCTCTCCGCTTCATATGGTTCCTAAGAAGACCCCAGGTGAATGGCGCCCCTGTGGGGATTATCGGGCTCTCAACAAAGTCACCGTCCCCGACCGTTATCCAATTCCCCATATCCACGATTTCTCAGCCTCGTTGTATGGAGCATCAATGTTTTCAAAGATCGACCTGGTGAGAGCCTACCACCAGATACCAGTAGAGCCATCCGACATACCGAAGACTGCAATCACGACCCCGTTTGGTCTATTCGAATTCATCCGTATGCCATTTGGGCTGAGGAACGCTGCACAGTCATTTCAGCGCTTTATAGATCAGGTACTGCGAGGACTTCCTTTCGTATACGCTTACATCGACGATCTACTCATCACCAGCGCCTCTTCAGAAGAGCTTAAAGCACACCTCCGCCAAGTCCTGCAGCGTCTGAGTGACCGCGGGATAATTGTCAATCCTAGCAAGTGTGTCCTGGGAGTTCCACGGCTGGATTTTCTAAGGCATCGAGTGAGTGCACAGGGTATCCACCCCCTCGGAGATAAAGTGGTTGCCATCCGCGAGTTTACCAGACCAACATCTCTCTGCAAACTCCGCGAATTTCTTGGATTAGTCAATTTCTACCACCGTTTCATCCCCCACTGTGCTACGCTTCTGGATCCACTCAACAACCTCCTCTCTAATCCAGGATCTAACACTCGTCAACTTCTCTGGAGCGAGCAGGCTTCCACAGCATTCACGGCAGTCAAAGAGGCACTCACTGAAGCTACTCTCCTATCTCACCCCAAGCCGCACGCGCCAACCTGCATTATGGCTGACGCCTCGTAATGCGCGGTGGGTGCTGTTCTACAACAAGAAATGGGTGACGGTTGGCGCCCAATTGCGTACTTCTCCAGGAGGCTCCATCCAGCAGAGCACCTTCGACCGTGAGCTTTTGGCAGTGTACCTCGCCATTAAACATTTCCGCCATTTCGTTGAAGGACGTGAGTTCTTCATACTTACAGACCACAAACCATTAACGTTTGGCTCTCTCACCCATTCAGACAAGTTCTCTCCCGCGCCAAGTACCGTCACCTCGACTTGATCTCCCAGTTCACAGGGGACATACGACATGTGAGCGGAGCCAACGCAGCGGGCTGATGCACTCTCACGAGCAGCAGTTGGTGGTTTTAAACAATGCGCCAGCCTACTGGCTATCGACTTCAGAGCCTTGGCCGAGGCACAGACAAAGGATCGGGAGCTCAGGCTCCAGGCCACTACAAACTTCATCCTCTGAGTTGCAGTGCCGCACCTCTCCTCACACCCGTCACACGCATTTGTGGACATCAGTATACAGGCCACCCCACGTCCCTTCATGCCCGCAGAGTTTCATCAATCGCACAGTGTTGTCACTGCCCTACATCAGTGTCCTTGGCAGTCCGGCGACACAGCGCCTCATTCACTGACCGGTACGTATGGCCCGGCATGATTCAAGACATCCGCACATGACACAGTCATGCCACCAGTGTCAGCAGGCGACAGTTTCACGGCACACAGTTCAGCAGACCACTGTCAACGTTGCGAACCAGGATGCCCACCTCTTCCCCAAGTCCACAACGAATCGTTGGACCGCTACCACATTATCGCGGACATTCGTACCTGTACGTGCATTGACCACTTAACACCTGCGCCAGAAGCATTCACCATGCAAGACACACCGCGGAGACAGTTGCAGCACTCACTTGTTTGTGAGCGGAGTTTGCAGCAAGGTTCGGAGTACTCAAGTTTCCGCCACCACACGATCGACGCCGCCAGTTCGTGTCCGGCAGCTATGGAGACAACAACTCATTTGCTGGGATGCATCACATACCACCCAATCGCTCATGAATGGGAAAAGCACTAAAGTGCAAACCCTCGGCGAACTGGGCGTGCGGCGCGCGGTACGAGCTAATTTGATGGGCTGGGCTGCTATTAGTATGCGTTTTACTACTCGTGGTCTCCGCAGTAGCTCGCAGAGTCTGACACGGGCTAGCTACAGTAGTAGATAGCATGCGGGAGTCGATACACGCCCTTCGTTGTGACTTCTCGTGCCTTCAACCCGAGCCCGTTGAAAATATAAGCGCATGCGCAATTTCCGCAGCGATAAAATGGCCGACTAGTATTAGCCGTAAATGGCGGAAGCGCTCTAGCTTCGCACGGAGCGTTTTCAGAGAAAACTGTCCGATCGTTCTGACCTTCGTCGCCTGTTGGGTAGATGGTATCGTTTCTGGGACGAACAGACACCCGAGAAGTGAGATTGAGAGTAACAGACAGACAAACCCAACTACTGTAACCCTCGCTGCGCATGCGCGCCGAGGGTTAATTATTGAGAGATTTCATAGACAACTCAAGTCATCTCTCAAAGCTCACGGCGCATCGACCCACTGGGTAGAGGCACTACCACTCGTTTTACTCAGCATTCGTACGGCTGTCAAAAGTGACCTACAGTGCAGCGTCGCCAAGTTGGTATACGGCACGACACTCCGCCTACCGGGAGAGTTCTTCGAGGATGCCCTGCACACGGTAACGGATCCTGGCAGCATGTGCGCACGTCTTTGTCCGCCACGATGGAATCCGCAAACCTCTGTAGTCCACATACGACGGCCCGTACCGTGTCATAGAAAGGGCGACAAAAAAGAAATTTCTCCACACTAGACCCAACGCCACTCCAGCAATGACACTGTGTTGCTCGACCGCCTGAAACCTGCTTATCTGGACTCAGAACCACAGCAGGTTCCACCACCGCCACTGTCCGCAGGTACAACCCCTGAATTACCAACACGGGTCACACGCTCCGGAAGACGGGTACATTTTCCGGTCGGTGTTAGCGAACGCCATTCCGTGAACTCACTGGAGAGTGAAAGGAGTGATGCAGTGGTCTCTCAAACTACAAGTCACCACAGCTGTAACGAAGCCAGCCAACAGCAGAACCCAGACAGCCGAAACGATGGGGTAGTGGTTTATCTAGCAACAGCAGCACCGACCCTAGAACATTCAAGAACGTTCTCCAGGACGGCTATAAAGTGTGTGTAGTGTATGTTTAATTCTTTTGTCATTGTCGTTGATTATCAAGGTTGCAACAAGTGTAGTATCGGCTTGCCCAAGAGCCATACATTCACAGTTCACAGGTTCATGGGGGAGAGAGAGTGAGAGAGTGTTTTGGTGCTTGACACCTGAGGTGCTATCTCACGTATCATGGCCTGTGTCAAGTGCGTGCTGGGAACGGGTCCGTTAGATAACATAAGCAGCCAGACTGGTCCAAAACGCTGTCTAATCCCACCTTCCATTCCAAGTTCAGAAGCGGTTAAAGCATAACATAGAGTGACTTTGTTATGTATACAATATTATAGGGCCATACTGAGGGACAAGTAGTGTAAAAAGTGATCACTGAAGGAAATAAGTCAACAGCATGTGATATATGGACCATCCGTTAGTTTCACTTGTCACATGCGAGTCCTTGAGGCAGAAATTATGCTACAGACTAACCACTATTCTTCTTACAAGGAATAGCCCACACAGTGATCTCATTTCCTCTCTGTCTCCCCAATATCTGGACGGCGAGATACCTCCCACCTAGTGTCCACTCCTCACACTGGAGAGACTAGACCACACCCCACCATCCTCCTGAGACTGGAGCATCAGTTCCAGAGCACCGAACAACCTTACAAAAACACTGTCACTGTCCAGTTAGCTGTGAGTTATATTTTACCACACACACTTTCACCTAAGTAATGTCTTATCACAGAAGCAGTGTGATTATGGTACTGCTGGTTTTCACACCATCGCGTTGTCTACAAAAAATTTTACACCCTCGTAGTACTTAAGCCACTGTTTCGGTTAAGATAAGGCGCCTCGTAGCCTTAAGCACCAGAATAAGAGTGGACAGAACGCACACGACAGAGGAACTCACTGCCATGCTCGTGGGAGGGAGGTTAAATAAAATTATAAAAATTGGTAAGCACTCATCTTAAGTCCATAGAAATCAATCTAGCGAGCATTTTAACCTTTGTTCCACGTAGAATTTCCCGTTCTCACTACGCCTTAGGACACCTCTGTTACCGTTTGGAGTGCCGAGACCCCCAAAATGTACCACAATATTATGTTCCATAGCAAATGTGTCTGTATGGCACTATGACAACAATGGTGCTTTGTGTGTGTGTGTATGTGTGTGTGTCCGTGAAGATTAAAGAATGTGGGATTTTTTAGAAAATGCTTCGTTGCTGAGCTATACAGAGACATTTTCCAGCTCTACTATTGGTACCTCAGTAAATGCGAGAAGTACAGCTCCTCGCTGATGCACAATTTTATCATTTTGCATTAGCCAGGTTGTGAAGGAGTCGTTAATAAATGTGCATCCACCACCCGCATCATTTTGCTCAACACATGGTCTAGTGTATCATTCCCATCCTTGGTAGCATGCCTTGAGCATCTCCATTAGACTCATCAGCTGGCTAAACTCTTACCCTGCGACGCAACACGCCACAACTTTCACTTCTTTCAAAACGATTAGCTGGGATTTTTACGTACTCATGTCATTCAGTTTTTGCCATTTTGATTCTCCTCCATAGTCAGAGAATTATTTTATCCCTCCACTCTCTGAAATGATTCGTCAGTCACAAGGTTTTCAACATGAGCATACTTTTGACTGCTGGCAGCTATGGTCAGCCACGTTACCTCTTCCCATTCGTGACATTCCGGATCTGTTACGTACCTTGACACTTAAGTAACCTTAGTAACACACATACTCTAATTACCGTGCATCCAGCATTATCTCATCTGAATGATTGTCTTTGAAATATACCTCGGAAACATCTGTCTTCTTAGTTTATCCTGCTGTCACCCATCAACAACACTTCCATCTTGTCACCTTGTCTGGATGGTTTTTTGCAAATATTCAATCGTTCGTGTAGCATCTCAGACATCGCTTTTGCTGTGTTGCATTGAACCAACCAGCCTTAGTTTACTGCTGCATCAGTAACGGTTTTCCTCTCAGATCGTTTTGTTTCCTTCCTTTAGTACGCCAAAAATGCTAGCGGTGGGAATTCCTCTCGACTTCATCAAATTCCTCGGCTCAACGATTTACAGATGTTCAGTAGGGCGTTAAGAGCAGTGCAAACAGAAATACATTTGGTTGGTGTCTTTTGAAAATGGTTTGTTTTAGAGGTGTTTTGCTGCAGCAAACCTCTGACTGTGCTATATTATATGCAATGGTAGATGTATGTGGTTAATGGCCTGGTTAACCTAGTTACTCTTTACAACACAAGTGTGTACAACGTCCTTCATTATCTCTTTGCTTGTGAAATGTGTTTAACCAAGGGGCATTGGGGGTAGGCTTATATAACACCCTGAGAATGTTCTGACAGGGGTTTGGTATGTAAATAAGCAGTTAAACGTTTATAAAGAGCCAATAAGAGTTACACATTGCGTGCATGCATTTTGCATAGAATCACTATGAGGGTTTGCGTTTTCATTCTGGCAGGATCTGTTCACGACAATGAAGGTGGTAGATGTGGTTGAGTTGGACTGGGAGCTATGCTGCTCTCTCTGTCTACCACACCGTTTCACTGGAACACTGACGCACACGGTGAGACACACTTGACTTGATGTGTAGGCCATCAGCTCTACATCAGTATGTAGTATACAACACATTCTGTAGTGAGTGGTTCACTTTTTCGAATCAAAATGGCTTTATGGAATTTAAAGTGCCAGTTGTATGTTGCATGTATTAAAAAAACAGCATTCAGATGACTAGGCAGGCTGACTTTGCTTGCCAAATTAGTTAACATTGGAATTGTTGTGATATCACTAAGTACGGTAGTATTTAGTATATAGGGATTGACATGGTATCTAGCATCATAGAATGTATGGGGCTACGATATTTGTTCTTCTTCTTCTTCTTCTTCTTAAACCAGCGTAACTCAAAAACCGAAAGAGATAAAGCCATGATATTTTGTAGGAATGTACATATCGATAACCACATGTGCAACGTCATACTTTTTGTTTGTAAACAATGTTGTTTACTGTAAACAACAACAAAATTGCCCGAGGCAATACGTTATAATACTACATGCGTCGGTGTAACTCACAATTGGTAATAGTTATGTGAGCAAAAGTTTGTATACTCAATAACCAACATCAAAATCACAACAATACATGTTTGTAAATAACAATAAATAGCCTCTGGCACTTTTCTTTAAATTGACTTCTTCACTTCTCAAACTCTCCAATGGTAGCACGCATAGAGATGAAACTTGGTACGTATGCCTATTATAAAATTTCCATGACGATAACATGTTTCCATGACGACCACATATTGTTCGAAAAGGCCTCAGGCAATTTTTGTTTCCAATTACTTCTTCACTCATCAAACTCGCTAACTGTAGCACGCATGGAGATGTACGTGGTACGCATGTGTGTAACATAATTTCCATGACGACCACAACAACAATAGCCTCAGGCACTTTTCTTTAAAATTACTTCTTCACTCATCAAACTCGCTAACTGTAGCACGCATGGAGATGAAACTTGGTACGCATGTGTGTAACATAATTTCCATGACGACCACAACAACAAATAGCCTCAGGCACTTTTCTTTAAAATTACTTCTTCACTCCTCAAACTCGCTAAGTATAGCACGCATGGAGGTGAAACTTTGTGCGCAAGTGGATTACATCGTTCCTATGACGACCACAACAACAAATAGCCTCATGCACTTTTCTAATTAAATTACTTCTTCACTCCTCAAACTCGTTAACGGTACCACGCATGGAGATGAAACTTGGTACGCATGTGTGTAACATCGTTTCCGTGACGACCACAACAACAAATAGCCTCATGCACTTTTCTTTAAAATTACTTCTTCACTCCTCAAACTCGCTAACGGTACCACGCATGGAGATGAAACTTGGTACGCATGTGTGTAACATCGTTTCCGTGACGACCACAACAACAAATAGCCTCATGCACTTTTCTTTAAAATTACTTCTTCATTCCTCAAACTTGCTAACGGTACCACGCATGGAGATGAAATTTGGTACGCATGTGTGTAACATCGTTTCCATGACGACCACAACAACAAAAAGCCTTAGGCACTTTTCTTTAAAATTACTTCTTCACTCCTCCAACTTGCTAACGGCAGCACACATGGAGATGAAACATGGTATGCATATTATTTCCATGACGACAACAGGCATTTTTTCTCCATTATTAATTTTGATAGGGGCTTGCCCCTAACACGTAGTAGTATATAAAAATGACTGGTGACAAGTAAATAAAAAATCCTGCGGATTAAAAAAAGAGTGAATATAGGGATCGTATAAAAAAAAAAAGGGAGACAAGATAGGGATGGTGTTTGTGGAAGCACAGAGATGCTAGCGAGGAGTTAGGACTCCCACAGGTCATTACAACAGCCCTATATCGTCGTATCGGTGCTTTACTAGTTCCTCGTGAATATATCAGCCAACCTTGCATACTTGAATTTTGTTTTCTTGCGTTGCACAATTTTTCAATGTTTCCATGTATATACATGTGTATCCAATGTTATGGTCAGCTGATTACACTTCCACCTAAATGCCACTCCATGGAAATTTAGCATGACAAATCTATCAAAGGTAATTAGTAAGTACTTCATTACCTATAGCAATATTCTACAGACTCTCTCATCACTCCTACTCCCACCCTACATAGAAGATTGGAAACTTTCCCTATCATAGCCCCATACATCTATGATGCTAGGTACTCCCACCGTACGAGCTAGGTAGTATCAGCGCTTGCGTTGAGCCGACATGCTGAGCTTTACGTCAACAATCACTGCTCTTGGCGATAGCCTAGTGTGACGAGAACGAGGTTGCATTTGTGTGAGTAGTTAGACCTTTTAAAAAACATGCCCTTTCAGTGGCCTCATATAAAGGTTGGCCAGGTTGCGTCGTTTACACACCACACACCACTTGGTTACACCATACACGGCATCACATGGTTTTTTCTACATGAGTCCATGTGTATCTTCCAGACACCTCAATTAACCAGTGGCTTCACCAAGATGGACTTGCATACAAGTCAGAAAAGGCAACCAAAACTACACTGCACTTCTTGTAGTTACACAAAAACTGTGATGTGTAGTTCCCACACACCTGTGTACCACAAGTATCAAAATACAGGGGATATAGGGATGGCTTGAAGCACAAGGGGTCATTGCACAGCCGAGATACACAAGGCTACATGACACCATCTCTCTATCTTTGTTCTTAAGCAAAATATCAAAGTTTTGGATTGTGTCATGTAGCCTTCTGTATGTATCTTTGCTGTGTATTGACCGCTTGTTTCTTCCTGCTTTGAGCCATCCCTATATCCACCTTCATTTAGCCTGTGTCTTTGCTGTGTAATGACCCCTTGTTTCTTCCTGCTTTGAGCCATCCCTATATCCACCTTCATTTGAAGAAAAGATTTTTCAAGTTGTCTACTATGTGAACCCAAACAAAAAGCACAAATGACTTTTGCTTGCTGAATACTCATACTGGAACATATTTTGTAATAATTATAACTTTTTTTTGCAACATGCATTGGGAAAATGTAATTCACTCGAAACTTTTAAACTGATTTGGATGATGTTAAGTGCTGCATGGAGGGAAAAAGCTGTTTCTTCTAAAATTTTGCTACAAATTAATGCTGATCGCCACGCTGCTGATATGCTGCATGATTACCGAGTTGAAATATTACCAACAAACTCGGAAAATATGGATGATGCCGAGAAGGAACATTTAATGCCCATGAATTATTTCTTTTGTGGTTTGCATTATGTTGTGGGTTTGGCCGAATGCACTGATGAAAGCCTGAATTTGTGGGAAGCTGCATCTGATAACTCGTCAGCACAGGTACTCAGAGATTAGTGTGTACTGCTCTGCCTGTAAGGCTTTTCACCACCGAGGATCACAGAAAGCTGGAAGTTCCGCTCTTTTTCGGTCATTTCTCAAAAAGCACAATGTGAACAAAATTCCTTTAGCCCATTTTGTTGGGAATCGATTTAATGTTTTGTTTTATGATGCCACAGGCATATACTACCTGCGAGAGTTAGTGGCAAGGTTTATTGAGAGTGTACATGGTATGCAGGCAAATCAATTGCTTCAAAGCGTCTCAAGGGACTTGAAAAACCCAACTTAATATCTGCACTAGGATTGATAATAAATCGATGTCTGTCCTTTGCAAGATTAAAGGGAAGTTCGATATATGGAGTGATTTTGCCTCTTCCATAATTGATGGCAGTGCAATATGTATCGTAGACATTGATATACACGTGTGGGAAGCACTGGTTCAATCTGATTCTAGTGATCCATCAACTATAGAAGTATTCCAATTGCTTTTAAGGCATTTTCTGTCACAACACAAAGATTACTAGTTGACCACCTGCCTTGTGGCATTCATCATGATGTAGCTGATGAAGAGATCATTGCAGAATCAGCCAGTGTTCCTACTATGAATGTCGCACCTGAACGGGACTTCGCTGTTTTAGATAGGTATCTAAAAGCCTAATGCACACCTAGTGGCACTTGAAGCACTCATCCTTTTCACACAACAAAACGTCCTCTTGGTTAGATAGGCTATTGTGTGAGGAAAGAAAGCACTCTTTCAGGCAGCACGGAGTCTAGCACCTTCCATTAAGAGAAAATTCAAAAAAAGGCAACAATAAATTATTGAGGTGAAGTGCCAGGAAGATCTTAAAAGTAGGGCCGAAGCCATTGCTCTCAAGGAGTTAAAAGCAGTGGAAAAACTCACTAAGGAAATCGGAAAGGTGGGCTACTGGACTAGCAGAGCAGAAATTGAAGACGGACTTGGTAAAAAGCATGAAGAAGATTGAAGTGTTGAAATTACAAATCAATTTTCGAAATAAAAGTACTTTGCCAAACACACCCCAATCAAGTTTTCACACAATCGAAAGCAATACTGTATGAATCAATGTTCTTACACTGGCTGAAGCAATGCAAGGTGATCCTACCGATAGCCCGACAGTCACAGCTCAAGCACAAGGAGTGGGCGACCCATGGACTGACCCCATCTACTGCACGCAGTGACGCAGGGCAGAATAGATCTTCCCTGGAAGAAGTTGTGAAGAAACCTGCACTTCTTGTTGGCAAGAAGGTTCGACATCGGTTTGAAGTAGGGAAAGAACTAGAGTGGTTTATTGGTACAGTCTTAAGTGTGGACTTAGAAACAAAAGTTCCAAGTCAGTTATGAAGGTGAATCGGATGTTTGCTGTTTCACACTCTTGGATGACATTGTGCATGGTGACTTGGAGCTCTTATAATAGCTACCTTTTGTATGTACCTTCTTTGAGCTAATGTCATTATACTGTAATAATCACATTTTTCACTTCAAAAATAATTAGCTAGGTACTGTTTGTCATTACTTTATGTCACTGCTGAGTTACTTGAAGCCCTTCTGTAGATTGCATTGTAATCATTTTCTGCAAATGCTGCTGGTTTTTAACCAATTGAACAGGAACCGCCTCTAGCTTGATGGATCCATCATGCACACATCTATAATTATTATAAAATGCAGACTCTCACCCACACAGCTAGTTATTAAGCTTCTGTTAACAGCAAGTTTGTCAATAGCTACCAACCGAAGGAAGCACCTACCGCTTTATTGACCTCCTCGCAGTCGACGCCAGAGGACTTAATCTAGCTGAGACTTGAGTAAAACAACTTTAAACTGACCTACTCATGTGGATTTAGGCATTATCGTTGGTGGCCATGCCTAAAAACAGCAGGCGCTTCTCTCGTGCCACCAGAGTGTTAATTGCAATGGAAAAGACGGCCGTTTTCGTCTGATTTTCAAGCATATATGTTTCTGCTCCAAAAAAATATCGCTATTTAATGACAAGGTAAAATTACTTTTTTCTTTGCGCAAGAAAATCACTGACATTGCACCGTTCGAGTACTGTTTCGGTACTGTTTTAGTACCGTTTTGGTACTGTTTGGTGCCGATTTGGTACCGTTTTAGTACCGTTTTGGTACTGTTACTGTACTTTTAACTTTTTAATGACCGGTACTGTACTTATCACTAAGGGCCACCCATGCAATGCCCGCCTTCTGTTCTACCTCACCATCCTCTCTCATCCTTTATTGCATGTCATGGAACATTGGTCATCTCACCCACTTTGTATGCCGAAAGGCCCTATTATTTGTCCCTCAGCCTTGGGCTCTACAAATTTTTTTACCTCCGAACTTCTCTTCGGCCGCAATGCCGCGCTCATTCAAGCCAGTGATGGATTCCTCTTCGCCTCATACCAGCATCCCCGCAGAGAGTGACCCCGCTAACCCTAAACCCCTTCCTCCCACCGAGAGGACTACTGACGACGATAACTCTACGCATCGAACTGAGGATGCAGCCCCGCCTACTACCATGACAGCCACAGGAGATGATCTTAGATGTCATGCGCACTATGATGGTCGACCGCGAGCGACGAGAGAAAGATATCGCAGAAGAGCAGGACGCCAAACGTGCTATGGAACGAGAGAGACAGGAACATATACGCCGAGAGGAACGACGCCGCTACAAAGAAGAGAGCGAGCACTGAATCACCGCGATGAACAGGCAGATGGAAATGCTGCAAGACCTGGTCTGCGGTCACACCGAGAAAGAGGCTATGAGGGATAACGACCCCATGAAGCTAATGCGACTTACAGACGCCGACGATATAGGGTCGTAACTAATAACTTTTGAGCGCCTTATGAAAGCCTACGAAGTCGACAAGGTACGCTGGGCCTTCAAACTTGTCCCCTCAACTAACAGGCCGAGCGCAACAAGCCTAGGCCACACTCAACGACGAAACGTATTGCCAACAGTTCAGAAGCTTCGTTACAAACCCGTAAAAACCCTGACGGAGGTTGCAAAAAAGCTAACAGACTTCGCCAGGAGGTGGTTGAAAAACTGCAGCACCGTCGATGAGGTAAAGGATGCGGTGGTGAAGGAGCAGTTGCTAGCGACCCTACCTGAAGATGTTCGGATGTGGGTCAAGGAGAGGAAACCGAAGACTAGCAGAGGAATATTTCCAAGCAAGGGCAGCAGGTACATCATCTAAAACTGAGCGAGTGCCCACAGATCCCTGCCCACGGTGCGGAGAGCATAGTCATTGGGCTAGACTCTGCCCCACCAACTCCAAGCCATCAACCCGACAACAGCCATCCACCGCCGCTGATGTGTGGAGGAACCCGCGACCCCAAGGCAGCAGCTGGACATCGGACCCAGGATGCCGCACCCAACCAGATGTGAAGTACTCCACCTGCAACACCAACGGCCACCTTTATACCTTTATATACTAGGTATATACATGCAGCATCCTTACGCACACTTTTTGATATCATTGTTTTCAACCCCTACGCACCTTGTTATCGCAATTCCACTCTACCCTAATGCTACTGATGGAGAAGAAGAGGGCATATAAAGAGCGGGTGCGAGAAGTGGAAAATAGTTCCTTCTCTCCGTCCAGAAGCGAGGAACATACAACTTGACACTGCATTGGTTGAGATGCCGAGATCCGCAATCATGTGCATCCGGGGTTCATGATCAACCTTCTCCCCAACCTCACCCACCGAGTCATCGACCTGGCCCTTCATGAATGCCAGGTTCCAACATCATAAACTCTGAACAATTTGGTCTCATTTGTTTCCTCTTTTATTTTTATGTCGCCATTATATGTATTTGTTAGACGATGGCGGCGCGTGGTTTACTGGTGCCCTATCACAACTGAAGCCACGAGTGTGCAACTAGTGGCGGACCCCATGCGTAAGTTTTGTAGCTGCCCCTCTGGCTCGCTTTCTCTCCCGCTATACCCAACGCTCTCTAGAATGCAGCCTGTTGCAGTAGCAAGAAAGCTGAAAGTCACCGAAAACTGCACTGGAGTGTACGCGTCGGGAAGCAGTTTTCAGACAGTGTATATACTAGAGCCATTTCCTGGCCATTCTAGCCTCGCTTCTGGTAAAAAAAACAGCAGCACAAAAGCCCCCCAATTGCATTAGACGCTGCCAATTTCCTAAATGAGTTGACATACAGCTAAAGTATGGGGAAATAGTATGGCCTCTTTATGGTATAACTACCCGTAAACTCAGCAGGAAGCGCTCACTACGCATCTACGTTGTTTGGACTAGTTTGATCTTACTCTCAGTTATCATACAAGTGCTAATGAACGTTTCACTATACCTTTGGTTGCGTACTATATTCTCCTCCAACCTCCGTAAGACGGTCAGTGTTGAACCCCACGGCTCCGCTCTGAATGAACACTTGGAACAGCTCATGCAATATTTGACAATGCAGTGTTCGACTACATTACATTCCTCGATTGTGCCACCACATGAGGCTGCTTCATTGTTACGTTTCACACACGAAGTACAGGTTCATATGAAAAATGGGAAGCTGAAAAATGACATCATCCTTGAAATGTGGATGACAGATAACGAATAGTGCTACAAATACTAATATCGTCACCTGCCAGAAAACCATACAGGGAATTGTAACGAATAGATGAGTAGCTAGGCCAAACATGTAGAATCGGTACATACTTCCCCACTCTCCACCCCTCCGCGTACGTTAGGCCTGGAAGACTCCAGCTTCGTCAGAAACCTACTGTTGAGAACCCACGGCTCCGCTCAAAGAAAAGATTTTTCCACTTGTACAATTCCGCAGCTGGTTCTGCCAGAGTAAGTTTGTGGACATGGTATCCAGGCATTTTATCGATTGGACTCCCTGATTCCAACAGCGGATGAAGACTCCAAAGGTCTTGGTTGCTGCACTGTCGCTGTATGTGGTGACATTTACTGTGCCGTGCATTTTTTCAATGCCAACTTCGAGTAATCAAAAGTTATATATGGTCTAGAATGGACAAAGTATTCGTCTATTGTAATGAATAATCTCTTGGAGGAGGAGGGCTGCACCTGGAAAATAATTGATGTAGGAACAGAAGTAACTTACATTTTCGCAATCCAAAAATTGCTGACTTAAATATGTATGCACATTTCTCGTCGTTGAGGCACCCCCCTTTTTAACAAAATATAGTATTTTTATAGTCTGTATATACTGTATTTAAATATTGGGTGTTTTGGGTCATTTGACACGCTTCTCCATTTATGTTTCCAAGAGTTAATTCCTGCAAGACCTATAACAATGTTTATAATTGTGCACATATTGTAACCTCATTTGCAGGTTTACTTTCAAATTTTTTTGTAACCTCCAGCATAAATTGGTTGCATATTATTGACCTGTAGGTGACAAAACATACACCAGTAACACCAGAGAGAAGACCTGAATGTCTGTTTCATCCTGCACAGCTGCTCAATAATTGGTAGTTGCTCACTTTTGTTTATAGCTGCTGCCTTAGGTACTTTGATCTCCCCTTCCACTTGTCTAAGAAAGAGGTCAGACTATAATTATGAAATGTCCCGAACTCAAGTTATCCACCAATTACTTAATAAAGTCTCACCTAGTTTTCCTGTGGTACTCCTCCCACTCCCTCTCCTTCCTCTCCAGCTGGAGGGTGAGTTCTGTTTCAAAGAAAGCAGTAACATTAGTGTTTGTCTAATTGAGGACTGTCTCAACACTACAGAAGGTTTTATGCAGGTACGGGTGAATGGGGTGCTTTGTATGTAGCTGAGGAAGGAGTCGGGGAAGTGCTGTGGGGGAAGATTCAGTAACCGGGGAGGAGGGAGGTTCTGGGTTTCCTTCTCTCCCTGTAGGAGCCAGACGCCTCCTGGAAATTGTATATGCCTCTGTTAACGTTTTTGTCATCTCTTTGTTCGAAGTACAGATAGTGTCCAACGCCCCCTGGGTGGAAGCGTGTCACCACGTATCGCACCAAACAGTTATGCGATTTAAGGACAGTGTCCCTATTTTCACCAAACAAACCCCTCACACTGTGACAAAATCCACATTTCCTTAGTTATAAACACTACTGAGAATGTGCATGAAATGTAGGTTCCACATTTCTCAAACAGTTCTTCCATAATTTCTTAACATGTACATGTGATCCGATCTTATATATTCCCACGAGTACTGTATCTCTGATATATCCATAAGCTGGACCTTACCTGGTCATACTCCTATGAAGTAGCAGTTGGAGAATATCAAATATTCAGGTAGCGAATAGGTCACATGTACTGTACTATTCCATAAAACAATGCATAGATGATATTTCCCTGTCATTTATCATGTCACATTTACCGGATAGTTTCATTATGCTACCAAACATTTAAAATTTCCCTGTCCCTATCCATACCACAATTACCTCATACTTTAAGTACACGCCAAACATTTGGAGTTTCCATGTCCTGCTCCATTCCACATTTACCTCATACTTTAAGTACACGCCAAACATTTGGAGTTTCCATGTCCTGCTCCATTCCACATTTACCTCATACTTTAAGTACACGCCAAACATTTGGAGTTTCCATGTCCTGTTCCATTCCACATTTACCTCGTACACGCCAAACATTTGGAGTTTCCATGTCCTGCTCCATTCCACATTTACCTCATACTTTAGGTACATGCCCTCCGTCGCCATTGTTTTTGCGCATGCGCGTAGGTAGTGACCTTTAACCTATTCCACATGCGGTTTTTGGCGGGCTCCTGACTAGTCTCGGTCACGCTGTTTCTCTCTCCCCCCAGCACTGTCTAATGTCGACGAAGGGTGGTGAAGATAGTGAGGTGGATTCTGCATCCGACCCAGACTCGGAAGAGGTATCTTCTAAGACGCGAGATCGACCGCTAACTTACGAATCTTACACCAAAGCCTTGGCTGATGCCCGAAAGCACGGCAGGAAAGCCAAGTGAGTATGTGCACAACATAGCCTCTAATTGTTTATGCCCTTTTTCTGTAGAAATTCCAAGAAAGGAATGCAGCCCTGGCAAAAATGGTGTTCACAGACGAAAAACAGCGGGAACGTGGCTCTGATGAGATGGACTGAGTCGAGCGAACAGCGTGGAGAAGAAGGGGATGAACGAGTTGTTCTGGTAAAGCCGCTACTGTGCAGGGGTGAAAAGGTGAACAAGTTCTTCAAACAGTTAGACCAGAAGATAGCAGCTGAGCGCACTCCTCAAGCTCGCCGTCAGCTCATGCGTAGGGTTGTTGCAAGTGATCCTTCCGCTCGTACAGCTCCTGTAGAGGACAATCTCCCACCATGGTTATTCAATGAGTGAACACTTCTGGATTTCTAGTAGCTAACTTGTATAACTTGAAGCCAATTGAATGTATTTGAAATTCCCTCATATATCACTTCAAGCCATTTGAAATTTCTGTACTGGAAATGTCAGCTGATCAAGTATCATCCATTATACAAGCATGTGACCTAGGTAGTTACAGGAAATGTACCTAACATATAAGATGGTTAAGTGCTGGGATTATAAGGAGCATGTGATATGAAAAATTCCTGAAACCTACCTAAAATTACAGCTGGACAGATGCACAGACTGTAGTGAAAATGTCGCATGTTTGAACTGGTGGAAAGCTGAATGAAACTTGACATGTCTAGCATGGTTGAATGCTACTGAATATTTGGTCTGTGTGAGTCAATGAAAAGTGCTAGAAATGTGGCATGTTTGCAAGCAGAAAATGTGAAGGAAATTATGCCCTATACTGCAGGAGTAAATGTTATGGAAATATCTGCGTGTGCACAACTAGGAATTATGAGACCCACATCAGGGAAATATGACCTATATTGCATATTTGCTGTACAATTTTAGTCATAGGAAATTCGTTATTTTTCTTAGTGTCAGTTTGCCCCAACACCTGCAAACAACATTTTTGTTGTTTTTATTGTTTTGCTAGTTTAATGTTGTTTGTGTGCTCTCTGTCTCATTGTAAAAAGGTAAAAAACGAAATTGCCCATGCCCCAAAACGTAGCCACGCCCCCTGGGCGGAAGCGTATCACAACAATAATGTCATTACGTCATCACGCACCACACCAAGCAATTTAGGGACACTATGTCCGAGGTCACCTGTGTAAGTTAGAGGAAATTCAGAGGGATAATATGAAATCTTGCCTCCTGGAAGGATCCCCATAAGATAGCTGTAGGTTTCTCACAGTTTACAATGGACAATTTTATACTCATCATTGGTTCTTTTGAACAGACTTCCACAGGAACTATATGGCTTGGCTTGTTCTCTTCTCTGTAGTCACAGCATTAGCACTGATGATGTTGATAAAGCTCACAAGCTACTAGTTGAGTCACAGCAACAAGTCCTCTATGGTGCACAATCATACACTCCAAACATGCACATGCATTGCCACCTCAAGGAGTGTATAATGGATGTAAGTCCTCTTCACTATTTTTGGTGTTTTGAAAGATACAACGGCATATTGGAAAAGATGCAGAAAACATGAATTACCCGAGATTCAGTTGGTTCATAAGTTCTGCAACTTGCATTGCTAGAGCTTTCAGAAGAAATTCCTTTGTATAGGTAAGACGGCAGATTCGAGTGTTCTAAAGCCCGCGTGGGAGGTTGGAATGCGCAATCGTTACCGAGGCGGAGCCGAGGTTTCTATTGCGTCATTCCAACCGACCACACGGGCTGCAGAACCACGAAAGTACGAGAATTTGCCGTCTTAGTTGTTAAGAAAATGGATAGCCGTACGGTTGGCTGTAGCTCGTCCGCCTTCAACCTTGGTTGGTAGCAGCTCTTTGAAGAAAGCACCGGGGAGGAGAGTTCTCCCAAGCCGACGCAATCCACGATTGCGTCGTTGCTGGTAAGTACTGACTATTAGCGGTGGCGCCTCAACTTTTCGACGGTAGCTCGGCAGGGGAGAGGCCTCCCGATTCCACACTGGGCACTGTGTAAGACATCGTCGACGATGACTGAGAATCACTGTTATTAGCAGCATCGCAACTGTTCGAGTCAGGGCGAGGTCTGAGCAGTCTCAGCTAGTGATCGTCGCTTCTGGACACCCCGGTCTGCGCGTATATACTGTAAACGGGAGGGTCTTAAAAAAGCCACCTAACCGCAGGTATCTTATCGCTAAGAGACCTGCGTGTAGGAATGAACCTTATTAGCTATTCATTAACCCTCGGCGCGCATGCGCAGCGAGGGTTACAGTAGTTACCTTCGGCGCGCATGCGCAGCGAGGGTACTGTAGTTGGGTTTGTCTGTCTGTTACTCTCAATCTCACTTCTCGAATGTCTGTTCGTCACACAAACGATACGACCTACTTAACGGGCAATGAAGGTCAGAATATAAAGGCGGTTTACTCTGAAAATGCTTCGTTGCAAAGCTAGAGCGCTTCCGCCATTGTACGGCTAATGCTAGTCGGCCATTTTTATCGCTGCGGAAAATGCGCATGCGCTTATATTTGGGTCTGTCTGTTTGTCTGTTTGTCTGTTTGTCTGTTACTCTATATTTCACTCCTCGAACGTCTGTTCATCCCAGAAACGATACCATCTACCCAACGGGCGACGAAGGTCAGAAAACAAAGGCAGTTTTCTCTGAAAATGCTCCGTTGCAAAGCTAGAGCGCTTCAGGCATTCTGCGGCTAATGCGTAGTCGGGCATTTTTATCGCTGCGGAAAATGCGCCCCACTACTTCTATCTAGCTATCAACGTTATGCTTAACTGCCTGCGCCAAGGGTTTGCACTTTAGTGCTTTTCATTGGGTCTGTCTGTCTGTCAGTCTGTCTGTTACTCTTCATCTCACTTCTCGAGTGTTCTTTCGTCTCACAAAGGATACCACTTACTGAACGGGCAATGAAGGTCAGAAATTTCGAACGCAGTTCGCCGAGGGTTTGCACTTCAGTGCTTTTCATTTTCAAAGCATTCTTGACATACCATTTTCTCGGACGTGCTTCAGATGAAAACCTCTGAGACCAGTCTCCCTGTAATGACATAAACAGTGTTTTGCTTCTAATGTCTGTGCATTCTAATGTCTGTGCAATTAAAACTCTCATACCAAGAGCCAGTAGCAATATATGAGAAGTCCGTGATATGATTAAGGAAATGTATGACGTTCTTGTACATGTCCCACTACAGTATGTAGAATTCAGCCATACAGAAAAATTTAGAACCAAAAAGTCACTATTATTGCTGCTTGGCCCCCTCTGGACAGGCATAATATCTGTGAGAGGCATCCTTGTTATGAGGACTTCCGTGTTGGAACAGTTAGCTACTTTCATTGCCACAGTGCTACAGTAAAGGTAGAAAAGCCATTATTATTGTGGCATGCATCAACTGGAATGAAGATCATCCTCAGAAATGTATTTCTGCAAAAGTGTAGCTACCAATCCTTTTCTTCAGCATCATTATGCCTGTATCACGCATGACACAGTGTACAGTCATAGATCAAACCAGGCCTTCTATGCCTTAAAATCAGTTATGTTGTGTATCACTTCCAAAACATGGATATAAATAGAGATTTCACAATAATACAATACAACAGTCCAGATAACAATCATCCACTGATATACTCTAACCGTAGAAAAGCACAGGTTGTGATTTCTATAACACATGCTTATAAAATGAAAAGCACTGAAGTGCAAACCCTCGGCGAACTGCGCACACGCGGTACCACTAATTGATGGGCTGGGCTTTTAGTATGCGTTTACTCGTGGTATCCACGCTAGTAGCTCGCGGAGAGTCTGACACGGACTAGTAAATAGCATGCGGGAGTCGATACACGCCCTTCGTTGTGACTTCTTATGCCTTCAAGATACACAGAGCAAGCGGCCCGGTCGAAGTTTGTGCTAATTAACATTATAACCGCATGCGCATTTTCCGCAGCGATAAAAAAATGCCCGACTACGCATTAGCCGTACAATGCCGGAAGCGCTCTAGCTTTGCAACGGAGCATTTTCAGAGAAAACCGCCTTTATTTTCTGACCTTCGTCGCCCGTTGGGTAGATGGTATCGTTTCTGGGACGAACTTACGTTCGAGGAGTGAGATATAGAGTAACAGACAAACAGACAGACCCAACTACTGTACCCTCGCTGCGCATGCGCGCTGAGGGTAATGACCAGACACAGATATATCAGCGCAGAACAGCTTTTTTCATAGTGAGGAGACAAGGAAAAACGAATATCGAACAACATCTTCAACTACAGAGTGCAAGTATGGTGGACTATTGCACGTTGTGGACTCATTTGTACAAATAAAAGCACAACACTAGAACTAAGCATTGCTGCATGCAACATAAATGGATGTTTAACACAGATACAACACATTTGCGCGTGCATTGTAAGAGCATGTTGGCACTAAAAGCACAACAGTGGATTGTAGTGCACCAAAGAACCGTAAGTTTTACGCGAATATATCCATATAGCTACCACGTTCTACGGCATGTGACCAATGAACCCAATGGATAGACACTTAAGTGCAAATAAGAGCACAACACTAGTTAGGACTATAACACATACTTTGGTTATCTTATGTCCAAGCCCACTAATAGCAAATAAATAAACCCCTAACTCACAACTCTTTGCTCACACACAACCCCGTCAACAGCCCAATTCCACACAATCTTCCAGAACTCTATCGTCCCAAACTTTAAGAGTCTGACCATAATCCAAGGGTATGTCCCTAATGTCCCACGATATCCATCACACATTCCACCATACCCGTCCCGTCCCAAACCAAATGTCCCGGAAAGTTCCTCCGATGTCCCCCGAAACGTCCCGGAAATTGTCCCAAAATCCCCTAAAATCGTCCTGTTTTGGGACGTGATTATTGCCCTAGCCCTAGAGGACGAAGCACTAGCCCCAGTCGGAGGACATCGGAAGACTGGAGAACGTTACCCTAGCCCCTGTCGGAGGACAGGAGGACAGGAGGACGTTACCCTACCCCAAGCCGCAGGAAATCGGAGGACTGGAGGACGTTGCCCTACCCCAAGTCAGAGGACATCGGAGGACTGGAGGA